GGAGTGTATGACTGTCTTCTGTATATTACTGTCGTGTGTGTGGAGTGTGTATGACTGTCTTCTGTATATTACTGTCGCGTGTGGAGTGTATGACTATCTTCGTATATTACTGTCGTGTGAGTGTATGACTGTCTTCTGTATATTACTGTCGTGTGGAGTGTATGGGACTGTCTTCGTATATTACTGTCGTGTGTATGACTGTCTTCTGTATTACTGTCGTGTGTGGAGTGCACAGACTGTCTTCTTACATTATCGTCGTGTGTGAGTGAAGGACTGTCTTCTGTATATTACTGTCGTGTGTGTGAGTGCATGACTGTCTTCTGATATTATCAATGTGTGTGTGTGTATGATCGTCTTCTGTATTACTGTCGTGTGTGTGTGAGTGTATGCACTGTCTTCTGTATATTACTGTCGTGTGTGTGCGTGTATGACTGTTCTCTGTATATTACTGTCGTGTGTGTGAGTGTATGACTGTCTTCTGTATATTACTGTCGCGTGTGCGTGTATGACTGCTTTCTCGTATATTACTGTCGTGTGTGTATGACTGTCTTCTGTATATGCTGGCTGTCGTGTGTGTGAAGTATGAATCGTCTTCTATATATTGCTGCCGTGTGTGAGTGCATGACTGTTCTGTATATTACTGTCGTGTGTGGAGTGTATGACTGTCTTCTGTATATTACTGTCGTGTGTGTGTGTGTGTATGGATCGTTCTCTTCGTATATTACCGTCGTGTGTGAGTGCTAATTGTCTTTCTGTATATTACCGTGGAGGTATGACTGTTCTGTATATTACTGTCGTGTGAGTATATGATCGTCTTCTGTATATTACCGTCGTGTGTGTGCGTGTATGACTGTTCTTCGTATATTACTGTCGTGTGTGCGTATGACTGTCTTCGTATATTACTGTCGTGTGTGTGCGTATGACTGTCTTCTGTATATTACTGTCGTGTGCGGCGTCACCTTCTATTACTGTCGTGTGCGTGTATGAATTGCCTTCGTATATTACTGTCGTGTGTGTGAGTGTATGACTGTCTTCTGTATATTACTGTCGTGTGAGTGTATGACCGTTTCCTGTATATTGTCGTGTGTGCGTGTATGACTGTTCTTCTGTATATTACTGTCGTGTGCGTGTATGACTGTCTTCTGTATATTAACGTCGTGCAAACGTGTATGATCGTCTTCTGTATATTACTGTCGTGTGTGTGTATGACTGTCTTCTCTGTATATTACTGTCGTGTGTGTGCGTGTATGACTGTCTTCTGTATATTACTGTCGTGTGTGCGTGTATGATTGTTCTTCTGGTATATTATTGCCGTGTGTGTGCGTGTATGACTGTCTTCGTATATTACTGTCGTGTGTGTGCGTATGACTGTCTTCTGTATATTATTGTCGTGTGTGTGTGTATGACTGTCTTCTGCATATTACTGTCGTGTTTGAGTGTATGACTGTCTTCTGTATATTACTGTCGTGTGTGCGGGAGCGTATGACCGTTTTCTGTATATTACTGTCGTGTGTGCGTGTGTATGACTATTCTTTTCTGTATATTACTGTCGTGTGTGTGCGTGTATGACTGTTCCTGTATATTACTGTCGTGTTTGAGTGTAAGACTGTCTTCTGTATATTACTGTATGACTTCCCATATTACTGTCGTGTGTGTGTGTATGACTGTTCTTCGTTATTACTGTCGTGTGCGTGTATGACTGTCTTCTGTATATTACTGTCGCAAAAGTGTATGACTGCCTTTCTGTATATTACTGTCGTGTGTGGAGTGTATGACTGTCTTCTGTATATTACTGTCGTGTGTGTGTGTATGACTGTCTTCTGTATATTACTGTCGTGTGTGCGTGCATGACTGTCTTCTGTATATTACGCGTGTGTGTGCGTGTATGACTGTCTTCTTGTATATTACCGTCGTGTGTGTGCGTATGACTGTCTTCGTATATTACTGTCGTGTGTGTGAGTGTATGAATTTCTGTATATTACCGTCGTGTGTGTGCGTGTATGACTACCTTTTCCGTATATTACCGGTCGTGTGAGTGTATGACTGTCTTCTGGTATATTATCGTCGTGTGTGCCTGTATGACTGTCTTCTGTATATTACTGGCCGTGTGCGTGTACACTATTCTTTCCGGTATATTACCGTCGTGTGCGTGTATGATCGCTCTCTGTATATTACTGTCGCAGGAGGTGTATGACTGTCTTCTGTATATTACTGTCGTGTGTGGAGTGTATGACTGTCTTCGTATATTACCGTCGTGCGGCGGACTATTCTTCCGTATACGGTCGTGTGTGCGTGTATGATCGTCTTCTGTATATTACCGTCGTGTGTGTGTATTTATAATGCCTCTGTATATTACTGTCGTGTGTGTGAGTGTATGACTGTCTTCTGTATATTACCGTCGTCGCAGTGAGAGCATGACTGTCTTCTGTATATTACGTCGTGTGTGAGTGTATATGACTGTTCTTCTGTATATTACTGTCGTGTGTGTGTGTGTATGACTGTCTTCTGTATATTACTGTCGTGTGTGTGGAGTGGCGACTGTCTTCTGTATATTACTGTCGTGTGTGTGGAGTGTATAATTTGTCTTCTGTAGTATTACTGGGTCGTGTGCGTGTATGAATGTCTTCTGTATATTACTGTCGTGTGTGTGTGAGTGTATGACTGTCTTCTGTATATTACCGTCGCGTGCGGAGGTATAATTGTCTTCTGTATATTACTGTCGTGTGTGTGCGTGTATGATCTGTCTTCTGTATATTACTGTCGTGTGTGAGTGTATGACTGTCTTCTGTATATTACCGTCGTGTGCCTGTATGACTGTCTTCTGTATATTACTGTCGTGTGTGTGAGAGTATGACTGTCTTCTGTATATTAGGTCGTGTGTGTGTGAGTGTATGACTGTCTTCGTATATTACCGTCGTGTGTGCCTGTATGACTGTTCCTGTATATTACTGTCGTGCGTGTGAGAGTATGACTGTCTTCGTATATTACTGTCGTGTGTGTGTGTGTGTATGGACTGTCTTCGTATATTGTCGTGTGTGTGTGAGGAGTATGACTGTCTTCTCAGTACAATGTCGTGTGTGAGTGCATGATTGTTCTTCGTATATTACTGTCGTGTGTGAGTGTATGACTGTCTTCGTATATTACTGTCGTGTGTGCCTGTATGATCGTCTTCTGTATATTACTGTCGTGTGCCTGTATGACTGGTTCCTCTTGTATATTACTGTCGTGTGTGTGCGTGTATGACTGTCTTCTGTATATTACTGTCGTGTGTGTGTGTATGACTGTGTTCTGTATATTACTGTCGTGTGGCGGTATGACTGTCTTCTGTATATTACCGTCGTGTGTGTGCGTGTATGACTGTCTTTCGTATATTACCGTCGTGTGTGGAGTGTATGACTGTCTTCGTATATTACTGTCGTGTGTGTATGACTGTCTTCGTATTACTGTCGTGTGTGTATGACTGGTTCCCTGCTATTACTGTCGTGCGTGGTGAGTGTATGACTGTCTTCTGCATAATACTGTCGTGTGTGTGTGTGTATGACTGTCTTCTGTATATTACTGTCGCGTGGGAGTGTATGACTGTCTTCTGTATATTACTGTCGTGTGTGTGTGTGTATGACTGTCTTCGTATATTACTGTCGTGTGTGTGTGTATGACTGTTCTTCGTATATTACCGTCGTGTGTGTGTGTGTATGATTGTCTTCTGTGGCACATTGTCGTGTGTGTGTGTATGACTGTTCTTCTGTATATTACTGTCGTGTGTGTGTGAGTGTATGACTGTCTCTGTATATTACTGTCGTGTGTGTGTGTGTGTATGACTATTCTTCTGTATATTACTGTCGTGTGTGGAGGTATGACTGTTCTTTCTGTATATTACTGTCGTGTGTGAGTGTATGACTGTCTTCGTATATTATCAATGTGTGTGTGTGTATGACTGTTCTTCTGTATATTACTGTCGTGTGTGTGAGTGCATGACTGTCTTCGTGGCTATTACCGTCGTGTGTGAGAGTATGACTGTCTTCGTATATTACTGTCGTGTGTGTATGACTGTTTCGTATATTACTGTCGTGTGTGGAGGTATGACTGTCTTCTGTATATTATCGTCGTGTGCGTATGATTATTCTTCTGCATATTACCGTCGTGTGTGTGTGTGTATGACTGTCTTCTGTATATTAGTGTCGCGTGAGTGTATGACTGTCTTCTCTGTATATTAATGTCGTGTGTGAGAGTATGATTGTCTTCTGTATATTACTGTCGTGTGTGTGTGTGTGTATGACTGTTCTCTGTATATTACTGTCGTGTGTGGGAGGTATGACTGGTTTCTATATTACCGTCGTGTGTGGTGTGTGTAAGGATCATTCGTATATTACTGTCGTGTGTGAGTGTATGACTGTTCTTCTGTATATTACTGTCGTATGTGTGTGTGTGTATGACTGTCTTCGTATATTACTGTCGTGTGTGAGTGTAT